TCTTTAAAGAAGTAAACATTTCTGAAGGAAAAAACCCACCTCAGAGCAACTTGCAGAAAATTATCTCAGTGCTCTCTTTCTGAGATGAGAGTGTTTTCTCCTTTCTGCTGATCTGTTTAGCACAGTAACCTTTCATTTTTTATGAACTGTGACAACCAAAGCAAACTCTACTTGCTTTTTAAATTCCTTGCTTCAGTGTATTCAGACCAATACAGAAAGTGCTTCTACATTTGTGACTTTGCAATAATCTTTCCATCCTTTATTATAGTACATAGTTATTGCCCTTACTGCAAAGCGTCCAGATTCAGTGCTGATCCGATTTGGTTGTCCCATTGACAAGGTCAGTGTTAATTTTTTTAAGAAAACTTAATTTGCAGAGATGACAATGGAGCTTATTGTTAGTTCCCTTCAAACTATGGAAGCCTGGGTTCAAGTTTTATGCTTTTAATATACTGGGCTGTGGAGGCTTATGCTGAATTCTTGAGAAAGCAGTCATGCAAGAATAGTGAATAGTTGAAGGTGGAGTAGGTAACTCCAGTAAGTTAAGAGAAGGTCAGTAAAATTCCACCTTGTAAAATGTGAAAACCAAATCTTAATATTTGGCAATAAATTTCAAATTGGTTATTTAAAAACGTAAGTTGTTTTTTTCTGTATTGAGTGTGATGCTTCACAAGGATTCTTAAACTCAGATACCAAAAGTGAATTTGAGCCATGTTAAATAGCCGCGTCTTTCATGTAGGAAATTGAGGAGGTTTTCAGAGAGTGTACAAGTTTGAAAGAAACAAATTGGCCTTTTGGATTTAAACTTGTGTACAGCTCTGTTATCTTCTAGATGTTTCTACTGGCTCTAGTTAAAAATTGGCAAAATTTTTTTTTGAGTCCCATGGTACAGCTTATATGAGCTTTAAAAAGAGACTGGTTAGAGTCAGTGACAGAGTGGCAGTGTTTATAAATGTATTTGTTTGGAAACAGTGAGATCAAACCATTGCTTTGTTTCCTACTATGAACAGTTGACTCAAACTCATCTTATGCGTCTTAAAAACGTTCTGCAGTCTTGCAGAACAAAACCAGCTACAGCTATCTGAATTCAGACTAGTGGGGGTTTTAGCATAACCATTTAAGGTGATAATCCAGATGTGTGATTTTAACAGGCTTTCCTTCTACAGCTTTAATTAGAAGGCTTATTTGTGTATAAATGAACTTCAGTTCTCTAAGAAGTGTGCTAATTTTTATGGGTAACTGGAAGAGAACTTGAGGTAGTGACGTACAAGGGGGAACACTTCTGAAAATGCGTCAAAGTATGTGGGGTTAATCATAGGCAGTTTTTCTTGAAAAGCTGTTTGTCTATCATTGTATATATAAACTTCACAGCAACATTATCCAGCTGTTAGTGAGCAATTACAGCTGTCAGATTCTTGGTAGATGTGCATTTAAATACATCAAGTTTCATAATACGTGAAGAACACAGTCAGTGAAAGTGCTGCCGTTTGATCTTTTGCTTTGACTCACAGTCCTGTTCTCCGCTCCTTGTGGTTGGATGTGTGAAAAGGCTTATTTCTACACTCAGAAACTGCTGGGTTCATAGATTCTGTGTTTGGTTATAGAGACCTCTCTTTCAGAACAAGATGCTTTTCCTTCTTTTGTTCCTCTGAAAAGTTGCTTCAGTGTTTTGAAATAACAATAAATAAACCAGCCTGCCTTTCTTCTTGGAGCAGCCTGAGAGGCAGCTCAGGGGAAGGAGAGTGCATCTCCTTTGCCTTGCAGGTCTTGCTGAAGGCTTGATACCTAAGCTCCCTCTTCCCTGTAAATACAGAAGCAGTTAGCTTTGTTCAAAAAATCTGTACATGGGAGCATAATGAGTTAAGGTGGAAACATCAGTTTGATTGGTATAATTACGTAAGGTTTCTGCCAGCACAATTCCGGCAGAAAATCCGTAGTGTAGACTGGTCTGAAGCAGCATCTGGCCTGTTTACGGGGAGAGGCTTGATTGTTTAATGAAATGGAGCTCGATACTGTTCCTTGTTTGAGCCAAAGGAAAAATAATTTCTGAACATAAGAATTAAATTGAGGGGAGTATAATATATCCTGTCATAAAAATCTTATTTGAGGATTTCATTGTTTCTTCCCAATTTCTGTGTTCCATTTGTGTTTTCCCATGCACCTAAAAAGCAAAATATTCTTAAAAGTTGAAACAAAGCAAAAGAAAAATTTGTGACTCTTCTACGTGACCTTTTCTGACTGTCTTTATTTTGTAAAAAGGTAATCTGGTAATGTTTTGAGTTTTCTTTGTTACTTGATTTATCAGAATGTAATATATTCTCCTCTTTAATGTACTGAGTACTCCACTAGTCTGTCCAGGAAGTATCTAGTGCACTATATAAACTGATCAACTGGAACTTGCTTGGGAGTTTTGTGGGTTTTAATTTCTTGTCTGCTCATGCTTTTTGGACATTAAGGCATGCACCTGCACTTCACAGTCACTGCTGTGCTATTTCTCTGAGAGAGAAGTACTACATGATTCAACTTCTCCTCTGCAAAGAATCTAAATAACAAGTTAAGTTGAAGACAGTGGGAAAGAAGTAATTCTGAAAAAATGTTAACAAGCTTCAGGCTGCTCAGTGGCTGGATGGTGATCCTGTATGGGCAGTAAATCAGATGGTTCTGGTGTCCCTGGGGTGGGGTGCAGTTCAGACCAAGACCTAAAAGTAAAAAAACCCAAACCTGATGAGGAAATTTAGCACTTTCATATATCTAGCTGTGCCATAGTGGGTGTTGGCAGATCTCTCCAAGAAGAGAAACTGCACTGCTCCATTGATTGAGCCTTTTTATATTCTTTACTTCATAGTAACCTGAGGCCTTGTGTTCGGAGGTGGTGAGCTCATATCTTGGAGGCTTTCGAAGCTGCAGATACTCAGCCTGAGAATTATGTCTGAACGCATCTAGCATTTTAAGGGGTGCAGAAAATAATTGCAGCTAAAAACCTCATGAGATCTGTGAAAGCTTTTCTGTAACACAGTATGTGCTGTGCTATTTAGTTTCATACGTGGTATCTCAGTATTTGTTTAGATCATTTTTGCAAGCATCAGCTTTTCAGCCCCAACAGCAATCTCCTTTACCACTTTTAATGTCAGTAAAACACGATGCTGACTTTTCTTGCCCCATCCCAAATGTGGGTTGGGATTTGTTTGCAATGGGAACTGTTGGGTTTAAGGCTTTATAAACTAGGGCAGGTAGGAGACCATTTACAGTTACAGATTCCTCCTGGGCTTCATCACACATTGGTACGCAGATCTGGCTTTTGATTGAAAGCATTACCTCCTCAAAACATAGCAGCTTCTGCTCGAGTAGAAATTATTCTCAAGCTTATATTGGGCACTGAAGTACAGGGACAGCCACTTTCTGTTATCCTTGGTAGCACAACAGCTCTCGGTGGGTTTGCTGGTGGCAGTTAGCAGGTGCACGGGCAGCGTGCTGCTTCCTTCTCTTTTCTGAAAACCACGTTCAACTGCCTTCCATTTCTAACTAGAAAATGTTAATATCTCAGAAAACTACTGTTTATAGAGAGAATAAGCTTATTAAGAAATGTTAAAAGTCGTTAAAAAACTTAGTGTGGGAATTGGGGGGAAAAAAACTTTGGCCAAGCAGAATAGTTAAATCTAGCATATAGTGTACTCATATAGGAGGTGTTTTGGCAAAGCTTTGGTTTGTTTATGGAGTAGTGAAACTGTTTTTCCTCCAAGTTTCTGGAAAGTATTCTTTATGAAGTCACCTTTAGGAAAATCAAGTCGATGTGGTATTCTTATGTATATGTATGCATTTTTCACTTCATTACATGGAGATATGGGGACCCTAGTATGATCTCACTCCTTTTTTTTCCGTTTTGCATGGGCATGGACATTTGAGAAACGGTGGAGGGGAAGCAGTAGGAAGTCTAATTGCCTTCTCAGCACATTCCTCAGTCTGACACAGTTTTGTAAGGTATAGGTGGGAGTGAAGTGCTCTGCAGGCTGTTCAAACACGTCATATTAGAACCCGAGCTTTATAAGAAAGCTTTATGAGTTCCTGATTGCTCTTCTTGCTTTCATGCAGAATAAATATGGATTGCTGCTGAAAATGATAGTCCTGCTCTCTCCTCTGTCCTGGCCATGCGATAGCCCCTCATTCATGCAGCCACCTGATCTGGTGAATAGATCAGAGTCAAGCTGTTGGAAAAAACCTACGCTGTGTGCTGGAGTCCGCCGGAGGGAGATAGTAGGAATAAGGGTGATGAATTTAAGTGGACTTTTAGCTATACCTTGGTAGAGCAAGGTGTGTGTGAAGGTATTTCAGTGGCAAATGTACTAACTCATAAAACACTTCCTGATTGGAGAACAGGTATAAACTACTTTTTAGTTTGATGTGTCTAGTTTTGAATTTAATCCTGTTGTCTGACTTCTCAATTTTGAGTTCTTGTTTACTAGATTCTGGGTGTTTTTGTTAGCCGAGAGAGTTGCGATACAATGAATGAGAATTGTCAGTCAATTGATATGACAAATTTGTATTTGCAACAGTTTTGCATGCTTAAAAATAGCACATAATTGAGACTTATATGTTGGGTTGCTATTCTGTGGTAAGGGAGGAAATAGAGCGTATACGTATTTCTTTGTCCTTTATCTACCTGCCTCACCCTTTCCCTCTATTATGCCCTCTACACAAAGGGTTTTTTTTCTTCCCAATCGTAAGTTTCAGATTGCAATAAGTGTTTATAGATGTTTTGGTGTGAATTTGATGTTGCTTGGATCTAGTTCTTCTACTTCATCAGACTGATCACTTGTGTGGCCACTTGTTCTTGATAAATACTGGTTTGTTTTAACCAGTCTATATGTTAGTCTCAGCAGGTCATGACTGAGTTTAAACAAGTAAATTGGGATCAGAATAGGTGTGGCATTTAATGATTAACTTTCTGGTTACTCAGGTCCAGTAGGAAACCTATAATGAGTCTGTTTTCATTTTGTTTACAGGAATAGTTATCTGCTTAGTCTCATCCTTCATATTTGGCAATCTGAGGAAAAGGTCTGAGCCAGCATGAAGACAGAATCCCCTCTTCAATAGAGAAAAAGTGAGTTGGATTGAAATGGGGGTTTGTAGAATGAAAATGCTGTGTTAGCTTGTCAACACACACAGCTTGTGCTTCCTTTCAAGTGGTATTTTAACTTCGTAACGCTGCTGTTAAGTGATGGCCAATCGAGGCCTAGTCTTGGTTAAGCATATGTATAAAATTCTCAAGTGTACGCATTTTATGTAAACTTCTACACCCTACTATTCTGAAAGAACTGCTTACTCACTCTGTAACTGCCCACCTGATACACTCCTTCTTTCCTTCCAAGTCCTGTGAGGTTGATTGCAAGACCTCCCAGGATCTAGACATCATATTGAATTGAGTTCATATTGAGCTGTATTCATACTGAATTTTATTTTAATAATTTGTGACTTGTTTCTGTAGCTGTACTGGTCTCTTCTTCAGTATTCTCAGTGCTTAATATGTATCTGTGTTCTGAATTTGTTTTGGAAACCTCAGTGCAAATTTAAGAAACTCCAGACACACAGGACTGAATTTTCTTTTCATTTTTGCATTAGGAAATCCCCAATTCTGCATTTTAAATGCTGTTAGCTCACGTCTTACCCTTTTCGTAGTAGTTTTTCTTCCCCTAAATGTTCTAATAGTCTCAAGGAAAAAAGATTGCTTGTTCGCCCAGCCTGATTTTTTATTATTTTATTTGGTGCAGTATGCATCAACTGGGTTAAATCTCATTTACTTTATTTTTTTTTAAACAGAGCTCCTCTGCCACCATTGTGTACTAACGATGTATTCTGATTACTTAGCTTTCTGCCTGACGCAGTTCATTTCAAGAAGTGCACGATGACAGAGCGTGGAATTAAATGGGCTTGTGAGTATTGTACATATGAAAATTGGCCATCTGCAATCAAATGTACCATGTGTCGTGCTCAGAGACCTAGTGGAACAATTATCACAGAAGATCCATTTAAAAGTGGTTCAAGTGATATTGGTAGAGACTGGGATCCTGCGAGCACTGAAGGAGGGAGTAGTCCTTTGATATGTCCGGATTCTAGTGCAAGACCAAGAGTTAAATCATCTTACAGTATGGAAAGTGCAAATAAATGGTCGTGCCACATGTGCACGTACTTGAACTGGCCAAGAGCGATCAGGTGTACTCAGTGCTTGTCTCAACGTAGGACCAGAAGTCCCACGGAGTCTCCTCAGTCTTCAGGTTCTGGTTCCAGACCAGTCCCTTTTTCTGTTGATCCATGTGAGGAATATAATGACAGAAATAAACTAAACACAAGGGCTCAGCACTGGACTTGTTCTGTTTGTACATATGAAAACTGGGCAAAGGCCAGGAAATGTGTTGTTTGTGATCATCCCAGACCTAACAACATAGAAGCAATAGAACTGGCAGACACGGAAGAGGCTTCTTCAATCATAAACGAGCAAGACAGAGCTCGATGGAGAGGAAGCTGTAGTAGTGGTAATAGCCAAAGAAGATCTCCACCCACAACCAAACGTGAATCGGATGTGAAAATGGACTTCCAAAGAATTGAATTGGCTGGAGCTGTTGGCAGCAAGGAAGAACTTGAAGTTGACTTCAAAAAACTAAAGCAAATAAAAAATAGAATGAAAAAGACTGACTGGCTGTTTCTAAATGCTTGTGTTGGTAAGTTGCTTGCTGCTACCTTATACTATTATGCCTGTGGTTTTGGGAGAATGAAGAATTAAAGCATAAACTTGACATTTTATTTGAAACCCATCTTTTTTTAATCTCTGCATTTTAATTTTAAAGAGTAAGCCAAATGTAGAAGTTCCTGAAATAGCTTCTGCTAAGAGAGAGTGCGGAGTTCATCCATAATCTGGACAGGGTTAGACGTGTTTCCCAACTGTGCTTGGACTTTCTTGACCTTTTGTAGAAATGGATATCCTTATAACCAAATCCTGTTGTTCTGTGTAGTCGTTGAAAGGTGGAAAAATTACAAAAGCAGTCTGTTGAACAACGTAATGCATATAGTACTGTAAAAAATGCTATTACTGGATAATTAAAATGACTTCTTTTTGCTATGGCAAGATATGCTAGTAGAATCAGCAGCTGCAGCTTGGGAGTATTTGTAAACAGTGTAGAGCTTGCAACAGTACAAGATGCTCTGTCAGATGTTAAAAATAACACCAAAATATGTAGCTCCAAGAAAGTGCATGTGTAATACTGACCTTGAAAGTAATAATGTTGTATTAATACAGATACTGTGTTGTAAATGTTTACAGGCTTTCTGAAAGTATTTTTGTAGTCAGCTGCTTCAAAAAATTCAAACACCAGTTTTGTTTTGTATTTTAGTGCTTTCCTTAAGGAAATTCTGGATAATCCTCCCAATGCTGTTAAATAACAGAGACGTGAGATCAGGGTTTTCTTCAATTATTGACCTTGCGAGTTAACTTTTGTGCTGTAGCTTCCCAGAAGCAGCTATCTTGGGCCCTAGCATACAAACAGGTTAAACACTTGAAATACATAACTATTTTTAGAGTAAAACACTTCATTTGAAACTCTGGTGCTACTGGTATGTCTCATACCGTTCCTTAATGTTTGACGAAGTCTCCTCATGGTGATTATAATTGAAAAAAACTAATTTGTGGAGCTACTTTATTTAGTATCTTTGATCAGGTGTAAATATTTTTATGGGTGTCATGGGTTTGATTTCTCTGAGCTAATAAATATTCCAGTTTATTTTTGTCTTGCGTGAATGGTTGGACAAGCACATTTCCTTTTGAAAATAGTTAGATGCCTCAATATTTCCTGATACTTTCAGCTGCTTACATGGTAGCAGACATGCCGTGCTTTTTCCTTCTGAAGTGAAGCAATTGAAATTCTGTATGGTATTTCATAAGTTATCAAATACCCAAGCTCACTTGTTGGAGGTCGTTCCTGTGCCTTACAAGAGTCTATCTTGCATTCTGATGGCAATTGTATGAAATGTAATGGGTTTTATCCCCCCTCTGCTTTTTTGAAAAGTGAATTATTTTTTTTTTTACTATTCCAATGCTCACACTTTCATATTTTATCTATGTGGAAATGGTTGAGTTTATATTTAAGAATTTGAGTTTTGCAAGTATTTAATATTTCTTGTGGCTGTACAATTCTACATGAAACTCAAAACTATGTTTATAGAAATTTTCTTAAGGCAATAATGATTTGGTTCTTTTAAAATGAAAATAGTTTGAAGGGATCTTGATGAGAAAGCCAGAATACAAATGGATTTGTGTTCTGATTTTTACTACTGTTCTGCTGAAAGATTTCATCGATTCTTTTCTGTAGCTTAAACACTTACTATAGTTCAGCTTCTTAACTGAGGGGGGGAAAAACCCAGCAACCAGAGCCATTCATTATCAGTCCTTCATTTCAGAATGTAATTTTGCGTATCACAGATGTAATATTTTTCCAAATGCTCCCTGTAGGAGGAATAACCTTAGGAAGATTGATGGAAGCTTCATGGATTCTTTTGTGGTTGTCTCTGGATGTTTTGCAAAGTATCTATATTGGAAGGGTATACCAGTTTAACCAGTAATTTTAAAATCAATAAGCCACATTTGTGCCGGTTGTTTTGTTGTCTTAGTGTGACATACTTAAAACAATTTCACTGTCGATTGAACAGTTGTGCCTGAAGCATATCTCCTTACCATTGCCATCAACTTAGTTGTGGCCAGCAGGGACAGGGAAGTGATCTTGCCCCTGTACTTGGTGCTGGTGAGGCTGCACCTTGATTACTGTGTTCAGTTTTGGGCCCCTCACTACAAAAAGGACATTGAGTTACTCGAACATGTCCAGAGAAGGGCTACAAAGCTGGTGCAGGATCTGGAACACATGTCCTATGAGGAGCAGCTGAGGGAACTGGGTTGTTTAGTCTGGAGAAGAGGAGGCTGAGGGGAGACCTTATCACCCTCTACAGCTCCCTGACAGGAGGGTGCAGAGAGCTGGGCTTGAGCCTCTTTAGCCTAGTAGAAAGCGACAGGACAGGAGGGAATGGCCTCAAGTTGCACCAGGGAAAGTTCAGACTGGATATTAGGAAGCATTTCTTTCCAGAAGGGGTTGTTGGGTGTTGGAATGGGCTGCCCAGGGAGGTGGTGGAGTCCCCATCCCTTGAGGGGTTCAAGAGTCGGGTCGATTTAGAGCTTAAGGATATGCTGTCGGTGGGAACTGTGCTAGGCGAACGGTTGGACTAGATGATCTCCAGGGTCCTTTCCAACCGAGATGATTCTGTGATTGTGACTTAGTGAGTTACTGCTTGATAACCAGCTGGAGCTCTTGTGAACTTTCAACTGAGCTGCCTTGTCAGTCCTTAGCCAGACACAACTATAAAATAGGACAAGTTCATGTTAAATGTCAAGTAAGTTTGTAAAAATTGATGGAGTAAGAGTTGGTTTGTAATTTATTATTGTAGTCCAGCTGAGAAGTAGTGGCTTGATAGGATTCGGTAACTTCAGGCTGCACACCTCCAGGTTTAAGCTTAATCAGTTGTGGAGGGTCCATCTTATGTGGGAGAGATGCACAAAGTGTAGCTTTCCCTGAAGTTAAAAATAAAAATTAGAGGAGCAGGAGTAGGAGTAATTCTTGGCAGACTGGTTATTTTCTTTTCTCTTAGAAGAAATTATCTTTCAGAAGGTACCAAGGAAAATGTTTGATACTTTAGGACAGCTGTTTAGTTGAACTCCACATATTGCTTCTAGTATAAAATTATTTTTACTAGAGTTTAAATGTAATGTCAAGTTTCATTAAAAACGTGTATCAGACCACTTTTTCCCTAATCTGTTTTTTCAGCTGAAGCATGAAGGTAGATATGTATCTGGTGTGGATTTAGAAAAGTACCTCTGTGTGTGTGTGTGTATGTTTGTGGGTTTTTGTGTTTTGTTGGAGACATCCATTAACGCTCCACCCACCTCAGTACACAAACATACCATGTCATCAACGCTTCTATTCCTTGCCAATCTAGGCTGTACAAAATGTGATGAGTGCAACTCTTATATTTCGCTATTCATATTTATATGAATAGTTTCCTTAATGGAGGCTATTATTTCCAAATCAGAAGGATGAGCGGCATTCCCCCTTTCAAACTCTTCAAGTTAATGTGCTTAAATGTTATTTTTGTTACTGACTTGGTTTTTGCAGCAGCGGATGCATCCATCAAATGATTCTTTCTCAAAAGAGTGAGATTTTAGAACTGATCATTTGGTTAAAATTTATTAAAATCAAAGCAGAATATCTAGTAAATATGGCTGTTGAGTAACATGACTTGCTATAAATGCCAGTTTGAGTTACAGTGAGAAATTACAAATGGCTTCTGCAAGGACACCAATGCTTTCTACTGGACTGGCCTAGTAAATGTTTGTGTGAAGTCCAAGGTGACTCATTTCTTGGGGGTGAAGCTAATGTATATTTAAAATTAAGCTTCATCGCCTTTTGTCTAACTCGTGGTGCCTGTTGCCAAAGAGAGAGGTAAGAGAGGTTTGGTGGCCTGTGGGGCTTAGGAATCCGATGTGCAAGAAGAGCAGTACTGCTTGGGGCCTGGTGAAGCTGGTTACAGCTGGCTGTGGAATTAAGTAGTATAGATGGATGAAGATAGTCATGGCTATAAAACCCTTATAGTGTTTAGAGTTTGCTTGGGGCTTACACTTTAGTACTTGTCGAAGCTTCCCCTTTCCTGGCACTTGAGGGCTGGGTTTTACAGTGGTGTTAGCAGAGTGGGTTTGCTGCAGGGCGCTGCTGGGCATCCTTGGGTTGTGTGTTCAACTCCTGAGCTTGAACTGTAGCTCACAGATGAGAAGTAAATTCTTCTCCTTTTCCTTTCTCCCTGCTTGTTAACTGCTGCCAGAGTATGCACTTCCATTCAGGTCAGTAAGTTAGCTACTGCCGCCGTGGGTCAGGCTGCCCTTGCTGGGGAGGGTGGCTCTGCAACCAAGTAGATACATGTTCTTCAGAGCTGTGTGAATGAAACAGCTGAGTGTTTTTCTTAAATCCAAAATACTTAGAGCAATCTGTAATGAATCTTGTTTTGCAGTACATCCTTAAAAGGACCGTTAGTTCATTCCTAGTATTCCTACATATGTGTCTGCTTAGTTTATCCTTTGTTGACTACTTTATCTCTCTTACGGGGTGTTTTTTTTTTTCCCTTTGTCCTTCTCTCCCTTCAGTTTTCTGAAATAGTGCCAAATGTGTTACCCAAGCATTGAGAAACCCTGTGGGGGAAGGAAAATTGTTCTGTCCAGCTTTCAGTGTGGAGCTGGCTGGGCAGTGTCCTGAGCTGCTCTGCAGAGATGGAGGCCACCTCCTGCTCTGGGTCCTGCAGAGCACGTGGCTCTTTTCCTGACAATAAAGGCAGTGAGAAGGGACTGACATACTGAGCTGCTTTCTGCTGGCATTGCCACCCGAAGTAGTGTCCTGGCTGCTTGCTTCTGGCCTGCTGGTGTGGTTGCAAGCCAGCGTACAATGAAGGGCATCTGGAAACTAATCTTGCTAAAAATGAAACTTGACAGGCTTGATTAGGGGATTTTTTTTTAATTTTTTTTTTCTGGGGGGTGTGGTGGTGGTTTTGTTTGTTGTTTTTGCTGGTTTAGTAAACCCAGACTGGTTTCCTCATCGCATCCATTGTAGGGCTAAACCTTGATGGGGCTGTTTAT